ATGGTTCTGTTTCTCTATCTATAAAGTAACTATAATGATAAAACCTACTCTTTGGGATTTCATGAGGATTAAATGAGAAAATTCATGCAAAGTAGTTAGCATTGGGCCTGATCCATGGTGAGTGCTCAAAATATTTTCATTATTATTATTTTCAGAAAGATGTGAATTGTCTTGAAATCCAGCCCTAGGATTAATAATACAATTTTAACATTATATTGTGGTTTGTTAGCAACATTGTAGCTAAAACAAAAAATAGTCTTGCTGGCCAGGGTGGCTCCTGCCTGTAATCCCAGCACTTTGGGAGGCCGAGGCGGGTGGATCACGAGGTCAAGAGATTGAGACCATCCTGGCCAACATGGTGAAACCCCATCTCTACTAAAAATACAAAAATTAGCTAGGCATGGTGATGTGTGCCTGAGGAACTACTCAGGAGGCTGAGACAGGAGAATCGTTTGAACCCAGTTGGCGGAGGTTGCAGTGAGCCGAGATTGCACCACTGTATTCCTGCCCGGTGACAGAACAGGACTTCCTCTCAAAAACAAACAAACAACAAAAAAGTCTTTTTATAATGACTTTCTCCCTCTCTCTCTCTTTGTTTCTCCTTCCTTCTCTCTCTCTATCTTCCTTCCCACATTTGCACTCATACACAGACCTTTTATGTGCTATTGTAGTGCAGTAAGGAAATAAAAAGTGCAGGACACTGCCTCTACCATCAAGGAACTAACAGTCTAAACACAGATATAAATCCATATATGCAATGCTGTCTGTAAAAACATGTTATTTATGGACTGAATAAGTAGCAAATGCTATGAGAAAGTGTTTTGAATCATCTTCAAATATTAAACATAAGGAGAATAACAAAGGAAGTCCCAATACATTTCAAAGAATAGCTTTCATAATGATAACTCTCTCCAAAACAACTTAAAAATCAAGAGTAAAACTATTAATGTATTTGAAAACTAAATTTATTTTGAAACTTAAAACTTCTAGATAATTCATGGGTTAATAGGCAATGAAAATTATAAGGAATTTAAAAACTGAAGGACAATGAAAATAATAAATATCCAAACTATCCAATGCAATTTAAGCAATATTCAGAAGAAAAAAAAAAGACTTAAATGAACTTGGTATTTAACTCAAGGAGTTGTAAAAAATAATGTCAGGGTAAACCCAAAGAAATTAGGAAGAAGAAAATAAAAAAAGCGAGGACTAGAAATAAATGAAATTGAAAACAAAACAGATAAAAGAGGGAGATGGTAAAAAAATAATAAAAGTCGACTCTGAAAACTCCAATAAAATGAACAAATATATAGCAAGACTAATCAAGAAGGCAAAAATGCAAATAAACACCATAGGAAGGCAAAAGGAGGCACATCCATGGATTTATAACAGAGATGACAATCACCACAAGAAAACACTATTATCAGTTGTAGACCCATATATTTGGAAATGTATACTGTAGCAGACACAGTTAATTGCTGCACCTGTGCTATGGTATGCTATGCTGTATTGTGCTATGCTATAGTATGCTATGCTAAAATATGGTATGTGATGATAACACAACCCTAAGATCTCAGGTGGCTTACAGATCACAAATGTTTCTTTCTCATTCATGTTGCAGGTTAAGTGTGGGTTTGGGTGAGGTCCTCTGCCCCGAGCCATGCAGTGACTTAGGGGTGCAGGTTGATGGAAGAGCCAGCATCTCCCCATGTTCTTCTGGGGTCATTGCAAGCTGGAGCATGTCAACAGGGAAAAAGAGAAAAGCAAAAAGAAAATCTAGGCTGCCAAACTTTTTGTGGGGAGCTCTTTATGGGAAGAAAATCATGAAAACTTAGACTTACTCAGCTTTATATTCTCCTACCTCTTGCTTTGTTTTTCTTGTCAGATTAATTTCACTCATACACCTCTTCTCTCTCCTTCATACCAGATCAGTTCTGGTTAGAAGAATGAAAACAACAGCTAAATGGTGTGATCTGACTGGCACAGAGAAAGAAGCTAAAATTGACCACTCAGGAAATGAGGCATGTATTAATAATTTTCTTTTGACTCATTGTTTTTAAAAGCATCCACATGTAATTAACTGTTGTCTATAAAATAAAATAAAATTCCTAAAGAGGAAAAAGGAGGCACTAGACTTGTTTCATTCTACATTAGGAACGGTACTAACATTTATTGGGTACTTACTATATGCCTGACATTTTACTAGGAACTTTTCATACTGTGTCTCATCAAATGACCTTGCTTGCCCTTTGAATAAAACGTTAACTCCTTTCCAAGGTGTATGTTCTGATCTCCTTTTCTGAAATCCCCACCCTCCCCATCTCTGCTCCACAGATGGGCCTTTGAATTCTGGCCTTTTTTTTTTTTTTTTTTTTTCTGTTTATGAAACACACCCAGCATACCAGCATATTCCTGCCTCAGAGCTTCTGCTCTTGTCATTCTCTTTGCCTGGAATCCTCTTTCCTTGGATCTTCTCATGTCTGATTTCTTTACCTCAACCAGACCTCCACAAAAATATCCTCTCTTCAGAGAGCCTCTGTAACCCTTCTGCTAGGTTAGTGCAAAAGTAATCATGGTTTTTGCCATTAAAAGTGATTGCAAACAAGAACCATGATTACTTTTGCACCAACCTTATATCTACAATAGCAACTCTTCCTCTACCCATAGTTTTCTATTCCAGTCACTTATTTTTCCCCATTGCACTTAAGAGTATCTAAAATTATCTCACTGTATTTGTTTTGATGTGATTTTGATTTTTCCTCTCTGCCTTGTTCATTGCTGTATCTCAAAAATCCCACTTGATTTTTCCTCTCTGCCTTGTTCATTGCTGTATCTCAAACATTTAGAAGAGTGGCTGGCACTTTAAAATTTAAAAAAAAAATAGATTGGGGGTACAAGTGCATTTTTGCTACATGGATATATTGGGTGGTGGTGAAGTCTGGACTTATAGTGTAACCATCACCCAAATCATGTACATTGTACCCAACAGGTAATTTCTCACGGCTGGAGCTCTTAAGGTGATATTCAATAGAGCTTGTTGAAATAATTGATAAATAACATAATCTATAACATTATAAGGCAGAATGCACACCATGAGGAACCATGAGATATCTCAGTGAGTGAGTGTTAGGAAAGAACTTACAGGATTTAGGTTCATAATAGGTGATTTTGGTTGGGATTTAAGGGAGCAGGACTTTTTTTTTCCACATTGGATATTGTCAGGAAGCAGGGACAATTCTATGATTGCAGATTCTTAATGAACCTCATCTCTAAGGCAGGAAGACTAGAACAGGGCTAAAATCATAACTGGTAAAGCAGAAGCAGTCATTCATATCAGGCAGGATGGGGAGATTTTGGTGTCTTGGGGGTTTGCACAATGACCTTGTTTTGTCAGCACTTAGACAAGATTACTGAGTGGCCTTGTTTTTTGTCTCATTTCATAATTTATAGAGTGGCCTTGTGCAATACTGTTGTTCTGTACAACTGTGATTAACAGAAGAATGCAAAGCCCTAGCTATGAGTGTCACAACTTCTAGGCCAGTTTCTAGGTGTCAAGGTCTGTTTTCTGGCTCTTACAAGTGTCCTAGGGCTGGTGTCCTAGGACAGAAATAAGCAGGAGTATATCTTTTGGCTACTTGATAGTCCCCTTTTACCCAATTCTGGATTTGTATTAGGATGGACACTGAACCAAGACAGCACAGGCCAAGGCAGAGAAGCAGTACTTCTAGAAGTCAACTCAAAAATGCCTTTATCCACGAATTAATTATCCTCTCAGCACATGGCTAGCATAGCTAATTTGCAAATGGAGAATGCTGTGTATTTTGCATCCTGAATGACAGAACCCACCATTGCCTCAACGATCATGTTCAAAACTGCCAAGTCCTTGATTCTGGTTCAAATTTTTATTTAAACACAGCAGTATGGTTTCAGGAAAGTCTTTTAACCAGCATCCCAGCATCCTCTGGGACTCTATAGCACCTGTTACCTGTTTCCTCTGTTAATATCCCGGCTATATTGTAATTAATTTATTATAATCCATCTGCCTGGTTAGACTGGCTCCCACATGTCTGTATCACTGGAACTTAACAAAGGACTTGGCACAGGCTAGGCTCCCTACAAATATTAAATGAATTTAAAATTGATCTTTAATTCCTGGCTTGCATTCACCTCACAAAACATTTATTGAGCTTGTATCACAAGCCAGGAGGATGCTATGAAAAATCAGAGAGTCTTTCCCTTTAAGGAATTTGTAGTCACTTCTAGTAGACTTAATAATAATGATAATATGATATTTACTGAGGATAGGGAACTTTGTTAGGTACTTTATATGTACCTGAGTTATTGTCATTTTACAGATGAAACAATGGACGTACCGATGGGTTAAGTTACTTTCCTGAGGTTCACACAGCTATCAAGGGGCAGAACAAAGACCATCACCCAGACAGTCTGACTCCAATAACACTGGCCCAACTATCAGGTTGAAACGTACAGCACCGTGTCCATCCACAATTCTCTCATTTATCAGAGGAGGTCCTGAATCCAAATTTTAGAAATCGTGGCAGACATTTGTTTTAAAGAGGAATAGGTTAATATGACCAGTCTGGGGAAGAACTTACTTTCTTTGCCAGGCAGTGCGGATGGGAAACAGCTGCGTTGGCCTTCTGTTAAAGCAGCAGGGGATTTCGGTTTTGACTTCAGACCTGAACATCACTCAGTCAACAGCATTTATTGGGCGTCCACTGTGAGGAAAACAGGAGCCCCCTGCTACTTCCGCTCCTCCCCACATCCTGAAGCAGGGAGGGGAAGTGAGGAAAGCAAAGCAAAGCAAAGGCTAGGAGGATGCGGAGGGTGGGCAGGTGGGCACCCCCGCCCCACCCGCGCCGGCCACGCCCTCGCCCCAGCCCAGTTTAAACTCCCGCCCCTCGTAACGACGGCCAATGGCCGACCGCGAAGCGCGGAGGAAGGTAGGGATTGGCCGGCGCCGCGGTTGTCGGGGTGACGGGTGGGTCTGGCGGGTCCCCAGGCGGGGCGGGGCGGGGTGGGGGCGAGGGGTTCTGGGTGGTTTCCGCCCCGTAGCCCCGCAGCCAGCCGGGCCCAGGCCGGCGCCCCCCGGCGGCGCAGGGGGCGGCCTCCACTCAGTCCTCAGCCCAGGGCACCCTAGTCAGCCTCCCGCTCAGGACGCGCCGCCCTCCGTCTGGGTCTCCGCCCCCAGGACCCGCGGCTGAGAGCTCTGGAGCGCGGCTTCCCCGGCCGGCGGCGCGATGGGCTGCGGGAACTCCACCGCCACCAGCGCGGGCGCGGGCCGAGGTGAGCGCGGCGGGCGGCAGGGGCCGGCGGGGGCGGTCGGGCGAGGCGGCGGGAAGGATGGGTATGGGTATGTGGGGTGGGGGGGGCGCGCAGCCCCCTTTCCCCATCCCCATTTTCGGGACAGGAGCAGACCGCCCGTTTCTGGAAAGACCTAAAGCGTGGCAAGTCACCCGCGCGGGGGCGGTAGCGCCTGGAGCAGGCGAGCCTGCGGGGCATCTCTGCTGAGGGAGCGCGGGGAGGACTGTCGCGGGTTCCCCTGCTGCCGCCGGGGCTCCCCTGCAGCCGCCGGGGCTCGGCGCCCTCCTGGGGGAGAGGATTCCAGGACGTGGCCCCAGGCCGCTCCCCCGCCTCCCACACTTGCTCCTCCAGGCCTCTTCCCCAGCTCCTCGGAACCCAGGCGCTGCACCTGGAAAAGTGCAGCGCAAGACAGGACTTTTAGGACAGTGGTGGTGGGGCAGGAAGTGGGGAAAGGTGGGGTTGGGGTTGGAGAGAACTAGAAGCATAGCTGCAAAAACGCGTCCGTGTCAGTCTCGATGCCTAAGACTGGCTGGGATGCTCTTAGGATTTCTTTGAGAAGCTGCAGCAGTAAGGATGTTTTACATATGTGAGACAGAGCTTTGTTATTAACAGCTTGTTAAGATACTTTTCATTTAAACACACACACATACACAGACAGATCGAAACTTCTTTTTATACCACTTCATTTTGTTGATTGGCAGGCCAGGTTTTCTAGCTTTCCCGGGCCAGCCAGGCTTTGTGTCAAGTGACTTTTTCCAAAACTCACCCTTCTATTTAACCCTGCTTATGTCTCTGGATTTAAGGTAGCCTGAATCTGTTTTGAGTAATATCTGCTGACTTATTTCAGTATCCTTTTGGATAAAGAGTTCCTATATCCTCCAATTGAGATCAATCAGATGCCACATCCTGGCCTAACCAGCAAATGAAACAGCAGTCGGAGGCTGCAGTATTTCCTAGGTGGCTGTGGAGGCCCTGGCAATGACTTTGTAACCTTGGGCCTGTCACATTCTTTAACTCAGACGCCGGTCAAAAAAAAAAAAAGGTAGTTTAAGACTCAAGACTTATTTATGTTACAGTTTATTTTAACGTTCACATAATGGAATCGGATGTGGGAATCTACTCAGTTACTTGGCCAAGTTTGTTTTTCCTCCTTGGCTGTCATTGCCACACATCAGGAATATTCCGCTTCAAGAGAAGAGGCTAACATATGTGCAATTCTAGTCCTAGAGATATGAATGAACACAGGTAGCTATGCGTTGAAAAATTTGACTTACAGTTAACCTTTACCATCTTGAGTTAAATCCTGTCCTGGTGATATACAGAGAAAAGCGAGTTTTTTAGATTCATGTAACAGTGGGGAAGGTTAGCTTAGCGCCTTAGGCTATGCCACCGCCCCTGGCTCCCATTTTGATTTATTAATGTATTCCTTGTCAGTTTTAGGGATGAGGGGGATTACCGTTGCCAAATGAAAATCAGAATGATGGACCGGGCGCGGTGGCTCACACCTGTAATCCTAGCACTTTGGGAGGCCGAGGTGGATGATTCACCTGAGGTCAGGAGTTCGAGATCAGCCCGACCAGTATGGTGAAACCCAGTCTCTACTAAAAATACAAAATTAGCTGGGTGTGGTGGCGCCTGCGTGTAATCCTAGCTACACGGGGGGCTGAGGCATAAGAATTGCTTGAACCTGGGAGGTCAGGGTTGCAGTGAGCTGAAATTGCACCATTGCACTCCAGCCTGGGCAACAAGAGTGAAACTCCGATTCCTCTCAAAAAAAAAAAAGAAAAAGAAAAGAAAGGAAATAGGATGATGGTAAGGTATGATGAGCTAGCTCTAAAATGTAAAAATCAAATTTTGGGGGAAAATATGATTTCTTGGGGAAATAATTTTCTTTATTAATATTTGATTGACTTTTTTTATTTCCCTAGGAGCACATCCCTTATCACCTAAAGGGAAGTCATATTGAAAAAAAAAATACTCAAAGCGTAGTTTGAGGAACAGCCTCACTTTTGTTTGTGAAGGACAGTGCATGTGAGAGCATGGTATTCTCTCCTCCAGCTTGCTCTTTGCCAAAAATTTCTTTTTGTTCAGAGGAGAGCAAGATAGTGAGTGCAGACCCAAATCATGCAGGACACGACATGATGAGCAGGGAGTTATTGCATCACCACTTTGATGGATCTGTGCTTATCTTGGAGAAGCCATTCCCAAACATTTCCCTGCCTGTGCGTCCAGCTGGCTGACTTTGGGATTTGGTCATTGTTATTTTGAAATGTTCTGTCAGTTGGTGGTAGGGATTTAGTTTCAGAGAGGAAATGCATCAGAGTGAGAGAGGTAAGGTTAAGAAAAATAAACCACAATGCAAAGGTACTGAAAATCTCTTTCAGCTGTGAGCTTGGACATCAGCGTCAACTGCGCTGTTGACGAAGCTACACACTTGGAGGACTGAACTCAAGCAATACGAAATGTGTTAAAGAGACGTTGTCCCTTTCTTCTAACTACTTACAGTGCACAACTTCCCATATGTCCCAGGAGTCATACAATTCAATAGCCATACTTAAACTTTTCAGGAAAAAAATGTACAAAGAGATTGTGGAAAGAGTGTTGAACTTATGCGTCCAGACAGTGAGCTTAAGCTTGGGTTTGGTGCTGTGCTGATTGCATTATTGTGTGTATTTCATGTTATTTTTTTGAACTTTGGTTTCTTTGTTTAATAATGGGGATAATTGGTGTATCTTGTTTCATAAGGCTATGTGAAACTCAAAAATAACGTGAAAGCACTCTATAAACTGTAATTATTACTATATAATAATAGTATTATTATTATCACCTTTTTGAAGGCAAAGTAGTTTTCCTTGAGTATTTTTCTATAAGAACATGGCAAATCTTTTTTCATGCATTAACATATTATTACAATGCCCCTAAACCTTAACTCTCCATTGTAAGCCCTGTTTTACTTGTTGAGTTATTCAGGTAAACCAGATAATTGTTTCCCCTTTCCCTGAGCTGTCAGGACAGCTGGCTCTCTTGGCCTTTGTCTGGTGGACTTTTTTTGTCTGGTGGACTCGGTTAACAGGACAGATTGATATGCAGTAGTGTACTTGAGTTAAGTGGCTTCCATATGCCTGATGTGTGGAGAAACTGGTATGGAGTAAAATGGTCGAGTGGCCATAAGGAGGAGTAGTGAGATGGATCAATCCCTTGATAATTCTGGGAAGACTTGTCCCTGGAGTATGTTTCTATTAATAACTGTATGCATACGTATCTTCCACCCCTATGTGGGACTTCCTCTGCTGGGAACTTCTAGGGCAAGGGTGGGGGCAGTCAGCAATGGATGTTTGTAGAATGAAGTCAAACTGTTGCTCTTGAGAAATTGATAGTCTAGGTAGGAAGATTAAGCAATTGAGAATCATTGCAAAGCAGTGTGTAATAGAATATAACCTGGACATCCAATTTTCCAGGAGGTGTTGAATGACACAGTTTAATCAGAGAAGTCCTCCTGGAGGAGTTGAGCTATCAGCCTAGATGGACTTGTGAGAGGCATTTTGAGTACCCAGAAGCTCTCCACTTTCACATTTTGATATGATCACTCTCTCAAGGTGGGAATTTGATTTTTCCTAACCTACAGCTATATTGAGGATTCAGTACATTTTTTCTGCTTAGAGTCTAGACCACAAATTATAGAGAAACATCTGGATAGAATAGTTCATTTTATAGTGTCACATTTATTACAAGGCAGGGAGCTTTTGCACTCTTGCTCACTCTCACTCTTTCTCTGCAATCAGATTCTCTACTTGCTTGTTTTTTCCCCCAGCATATCTCCTGACTAGGCAGAGAAATGAGCAACCTTGCATTTTGAGTTTATGATATATAGCAGGTCAGTCATTCCTTTTATACAGTCATATACATAAAGACTATGAAACAAGTCTCTGTAATACAAATCAGAAATTCCTTTTCATGTAAACCAGAAAAATCCCTTCAAAGTTTTAGATAGTTCCCCCTATCTACAGTAGCCTATTTTAATGCAGGCTAAGGCTGTAGAAATTATTTGCAGCAGCAGTTATCTCAGAAGTATTTGGCTCATGATATTTGGTTAAATTGGTTAGTTGAATTTTTTCTGCCAGAGATATGTAATTGGCAACTGATCTTAACTTCACGGGCAATTTATTGTCAGAATGTTTCCATAATCGTTTTTTCTGCTGTTTATGTAACAATAGTCTGAGGAGGAGGAGCTTGATACTTATTTACCCTATTTTATCAGTGTACCCAAGGAGTTAATACAATCCTTTTGGGTCCAATTATTTAGATTAATTATGTCCTTGTCCTCAATTAGCTAGATAATTGCATTCTTTTGAGGTAGCTATGTTGGTCCAGCCTTAATTTACATCTGTAAATGGTCTGGTAGGTATTGAAATGATACAGCTGTGCTTAGCATTAGTCCAAGATTTGTGGAGGAAATAATTTAAAAATAATATAAAATTTTGTTGATATCATCCAACATTTTTATCTTGTACTACTCCCCTTTCCCCACAACTATGTACCATCCTTCTTTCTGTTCTTTAAACATGCTGAACTCACTCTTGTTTTCTCTCTGTTTGAAACATGTTTTTGCTGGAGAGCTGATAGTATGCTTATTTCTTGCCTTTTTCTTTCCCCTACCCCAATGGAGGCCTCATGAAAGCCTATACATTTTGTTTACAGCTGTATCCTCAGCATCTAGACCAGCTTTCACAATTTAATGGGTTTTTTGGCTCTTGAAATATATTGGTTGAATGAATGAGTATATTTGGGAAACAAAACAGATATAAAATGGAGTCCTAAGTTGGTGTGGGCACACTGTACTGATGTAGCAATTGAGGGAGGAAAATAAAACCTCAGGAAGTCAGGGAAACCTTTGTGGAGGAAGTGGAACTTTATTTGGCCTTGAAGAATAGTGTGGAGGAAGTGGAACGTTATTTGGCTTTGAAGAATAGCATGAAGGAAGT